GTCATCCCCAAGCAATTTTTTAATCTGATTCCTTTTATTTCTTGTTGTTGCCGCGTTATGAAAAAAAAAAGAAGTGTTGTGATCCCCATGCAATAACCAATTTGCACGACCACGTTGTACCCAGTAAATCTCCTCTTGTTCTAGCAAATTTTCAATGAGGACCAAAATCTCCTTTTGCCGTGCTTGGGAATCCACATTCATAGGACCCCTTCGTATCTTTTCCAACTCTTTTTTGAGCTTTTTTATTCTTTGTTTTGGGCCTCTTAAAAGGGAAAACTTTGTTTTGCCACTCTAGTTTTTGCTAACTTTGCTTATGCCACTCTATAATTTGACATTTCACTTTTGCCACTCTTAGCTTTTGACAATATATCACTTTTTCCATTCCGTGGCAAAAGCAAAAAATTTAGAGTGGCAATTATGATACATTGTTAAAAGCTAAGAGTGGCAAAAGTGAAATGAAAAATTATCGTTTTTGTCATGGAATGGCATTTGTGATGTATTGTCAAAAGCCAAGAGTAGCAAAAATGAGATGTCAAATTCTAGAGTGGCATAAGCAAAATTGGCAAAAGCTAGAGTGGCAAAAACAAAGTTTTCCCCTCTTAAAAACCTCACCATCCCAAATATGCAAATCTGACTGAACCGCACGAGTACGATCAACGAGCTTTGGCCCAATACCCATCATTTTTTCCTTTTCCCATGCTATACGAACAATTTCACCAAGCTTCTCTTCCTTGAGCCATCGAGCTTCAAACTATTTTACTCGTCCCCTTGGGGCATTAAAAATATTTACGTCAAAATATTATGTATCCAATACGAGTGGATGATGATCAGAATGAACATGTTCCTCATTAATAATCGTGGCCCGAGGGAATTTGTTCGCCCATTCCACATTGCACACGGCACGGTCAAGTCTCTCTCTAGTATTGCATCTCCTCCAAGTGAAAGGGTCACCGATACAGCCCATATCCTCGAGGCCACACTCTCCTATACAATTTCGAAAATCTCTCATCATAGAATTTGGTCTCGCATTTCCACCCTCTTTTTCTGACGATAGTAATATTTCATTAAAATCCCCTAAGATCACCCAGGGGTGATGACCCAGATTATGGAAATTCCGAATATTATCCCATGATAACTTGCATTCAGTCCAAACCGGATGACCGTAAAAACCTGTGAATCGCCAATGTACATCTTCATCATTCATAAAAAGAATATCAATAAAATGAGACGACACATAGTTCGAAACAACTTTATTCAACTTATTATAATACAAGACTAGGCCACCGGCCCGACCATCACTCTCCACTACAATCATCGAATCAAAAGATAAAAAACAACGCAGCTCATCGGCTTCACATTTATTCAAGTGCGACTCAGAGAGAAAATCAAATCAGCCTTGGTGCGGTGTTGGAGCTCCAAGAGCTCACGAACTGCCGTGGGGGAGAGCATACCACGACAGTTCCATCCTAGGATCCTCATTTGGCCCGGCGGTCCTCCTCCTCGGAGGCCGCTGATGCGCCATCATCTCTAACTGATTCCCTGCTCTGTTGCACGTAAGCCTCCTCCTCCTCTGTTTCCTTTGCTACATGTGTGGCTATCCCATCACCATCCCTCATAGTTTCAACTCTACCCATACAAACTCTTTTATAAGAAACACTCATCTCACCATACAACACACCTTCATAGTTATCTATTTCCCTCTCAAAAGAAATTTTTTGGTCACTCCCTGTTGGTAGTACCCCAAATGGATTACCCCTCTTTTTTCCTATGGTCTCTTTTCGAGCACTCTCAACTTTCTCATCCCCTCCCTTATTTTTACCTTTCTTCTCCTTTCTCTTTGTGTGGCCCTGCATAGGATTCTTTTTTGCAGCAAAAGTAAACATTGCAGATTCCTTTGCCGTAGCCGGGCTAGCTAGCCTCATGGCCACAGCTCCTGTAAGTGCCTCCAGCACACCAGGAGCGAACACAACCTGATTTTGCATGTTAAGAGAGCCAGCCGCATCAGGTACAACACTGGCTGCACCCCTCGAGTGGATCCCCTGGCCCTCCTGGCCAGCAAGACACTCTACATGGACAGCATTAGTAGCTATCACTTGTGTAGTTTGGGGCATTCCCAAAAGTAGCCACACATGGCCCTCCTAGCCTTGGTGCGAAAGGAGTGTAGTAGCGCCCAGGCATGCAGCCTGGTTCTCCTGACCAGGGGCTCCACTTCCCAGGGATAGCAGCGACGCCACAGAGGCTCGGCCCTCCTGGCCGAGCTGCATCGCTCCCGTGGTGGAAGCCCCCCTTGCCGCTAGGTCCTGGTCCTCCTGGCCAAGACCGGCGCATACGAGCGGCCCTCGAGCCAGGTCCACCTGACCTGTAGCCGAGGACGTCGGCAGAGGGGGCACATGACCCCGACCCTCCTGGTCGAGTGAGTGCCCCCCGTGGCCTGATCCCCCAGTCGGCAAGATCGTCGTCTTCGTAGACGACACAACAACTTTCTCCTTCATAGTGAGATCACCTACAGCTTTGGTCACTTTGACCACCATTCCTTTGGTGGCCTTGGATGTGTTGTTGTTCCTGTAGCCTGTGTACAAAAGGGCTCTTCTACTAGACGTTTGACCCTTCCAGTAGGCCTCTACACCTAGATTTTTTGCAAAATTTGCTACTCTGCTCTCCTTAGGAATCCTACAGAACCGCTCAGACACATGTCCTACAAGCCCACAACACTCACAATATGACGGCAGTTTTTCATAGCGAACATCATACTGAAGTTCTTCTTTGCTACCTAAGGGAGTAAATTCTACCCTACTTGATTGGCTCATGTAGCGGGATTCTCACACGCACACGCAAATACTTCTCTACAATCATATGGTTTTGGTGTGAAACGGCTATCACTTCACCAATTTGGCCCCCTAGGGACTTGCCCATATCTTCAGTTTTGAGCTCGAACGGAAGGTCACGAACCTGGGCCCATATAGCCATGGTTCCAAGATCCACCTCCACCGGGTTACCCTTGCCGTCAAACTCGGCGAAGATGATCCCGTCGCGTTTGTGGTGACATGGTTGGGCCTTCAACAGAAAACGTCTGTCCACGTCGGCGGAGAAGTTGAGGATGAACCTCCCGTCGTCGCTGGCCACCTCCTGAACGGTGACCTCACCTCGCAGCCTCCAAGCCGACGAATCACGAAGGTCATCGACGAGGATCCGTGGGTTTACTTGGAAAGGCGATATGAGCCTCCCTACCACCAAGAAACCACCGATGGCCCTTCTCGCTGCCTCCATGTCGACAATGAGCGGGGAACCATCCCCACAGGGCCGCCTCGACTCCGTCTTCCCTTCACCCTCAGGCAAGGGAGCCAGAACAGGAGATCCCCTCCCCATGATCGCTGGCACACTCCCAGACCCTTGTCCTACGTCCCTCTCCCCCTTCCCCTTCTCCATCTCTCCCCTTCTCACAACAATAGGCCCTCCCGAGAAGAGACAGAGGAAGGGAGGCAATATTTCCTTGTCTGTAAGATGAACTGGGGACCCAAGACACCCCCAACTGTTGTTGAAATAGGTTCTCCCCTCTCCCGAATTTGCCACATACGCAACGGAATTTGTGTACTTAACGAAAAATAAAGGAACATGAATGAGCAGTTTCCAAAGTAAATTCCCCCTAATTTCTCTCTTTCCCCTAAATGTGCAGATAACATTCCTTCCCTGATTCACCTCCGAATTGCTATACATATGAAATAATAAATGATCTTGAAACGGCCGTTCCCAAATTAAAATCACGTTTGTTTTTTCCTTGTCCCTAATTGTACAGAGGCTATCAGTATCCCAATTCTCCTCTCCTTCCTTAAACGCACTCCAAAGATTACTCTGCATGCGCCCCGAACCATGGGGATTTCTTCCCAATCCGGCTGAAAACGAATTTGATACCCCACCCACAAAAGAGAGCAATTTCCGCCTATTAATTTCCCTAAAATCTATCAACAAAGGCAAATCCTTACGCAAATTGGCTTGGGCCGACCCCTCTCCCACCAGATCGATCGGATACGATCTCACCTGGATGCCCGCTAATCAACCTTTCTGCACGCCTCTTCATCCTCTCCCAGCACCTCTTCCGATTTGCGAATCGACGGAGGATTTCTCGTGATCTGACCTTGAAATTGTCCCACTCCTGAGCGCTGAAGGGCCCCTCATGGGTACCCACCCCCGTACGGGCATCTTCCCCCGCCGGAGAAACCGCCGGAATCGGCGCTGCCATCTCCCCCCTTTTCCCTCTCGGTTGCCATGCCTTGGCCTTGAGCCCGCTCCTTGCTTGGGCGCACATGGCGGCACCCACTCCCGTGCGAGCGCCTTCCCCCGTCACAGAATCCGCGGAAACCGCCGGGATCGCCGCCGCCATCTCGCCCGCTCTTCCTCTCCGTCGCCGCTTAAACGCGGGAGCCTTTTTTTCCTACCCCTGCGAGATTACCGTAATTGTAGCGGCCAAAAATTGCAGTTCTAGCCTAGGTCATGGTCTCAATGTAGGTATTCAAAATCAGGTGCTCTTCTAAAACCCTCACCGCCACCAACCACGGAGAAAAGCCCTCGAGGTTGAACTTGAACTGACTTCCACGTTTCACACCAAGGTAACGTGAAAAGTAGTGGGAGAAACTCCTTTCCTTTGCCGTTCGTTCGAGAAAGAAAAACTCGTGCTTTGCCCTGAAACAAAACCCACGTGCGGCCGCATCCCGGAGCTGACTGCGTGGGGCGGCCGCTTGACGCCGTCTCGTTGCTCCCACCAACCCCAAGCCCCCAACCCCTGAACCGGAACCAACGGCCAAGATCGTCTCGGGCCCGAAAACCCACGGCCGATCCCGTCCTCATATGGATGCGCCATCTTTTAATACACGCCCAAGCTCGACACCCACTTCCCTCCCCCGGTCCCTCCCCACCTTCCCCCTCCCTCCCCCTAATCCGGGCCTTGGTGCGGGCGAGGTAGCGGCGGCGACAAGACGAGCAAGGCAGCGCGCCGCCACCCACCCATGGAGTCGCTCGCCCTCCTCAGCGCCAAGCCCGGCCTCTCTCTCCGGGCGGGGCCCCGCCTCCCGCTCCCGCGCCTCCGGGCCGCCCGCGCGTCCCTCTCCACCGCGTCCAGCTCCAGGCCCGCCGCCCTCCAGTCCCCACTCCTCTCGTCGAGGCCCCCCTCCTCGCAGGACGCCGTCCTGGGGTATGGGCTCTTGAAGCGCAGGACCAGTGCTGGTGCTGGCGTCTCTTGCAGCGCGGCGGCCGCGGCGGCGGTGCCGCAGCCCCCGGCGCAGCCGGAGGTCAAGAAGTTCCTCGGCGTGGGCCTCCCGACGCTCAAGAAGATCGTGCCCCTGGGCCTGATGTTCTTCTGCATCCTCTTCAACTACACCATCCTTCGGGACACCAAGGACGTGCTGGTGGTGACCGCCAAGGGGAGCAGCGCGGAAATCATCCCCTTCCTCAAGACCTGGGTCAACCTGCCCATGGCCATCGGCTTCATGCTCGCATACTCCAAGCTCTCCGACGTGCTCTCCCGGGAGGCGCTCTTCTACACCGTCATATTCCCCTTCATCGCCTTCTTCGGCCTCTTCGGCTTCGTGCTCTACCCGCTCAGGGATGCCATCCATCCCACCGCCCTCGCCGACAAGCTTCTGGCGGCGCTCGGCCCGAGCTTCCTTGGACCGGTAGCTATCCTCAGGATTTGGAGCTTCTGCTTATTCTATGTCATGGCCGAGCTGTGGGGCAGCGTCGTCGTCTCTGTCCTCTTCTGGGGTTTTGCCAACCAGGTGAGTTGCGGCTTTGGTTTTTTCGTTCAACCTTGGAATGTGCAAATGTCAGTCCCGTCGTTGCTTTCCAGGCTAATTTTATACAGTAGTTTCGACCGTTCACAGTCAAATATTCGAGAACAAAACTTCTCTCTGTCAGAATGGTTAGACAGTTAGTGATGACATAAATGGGCCGTGCTCTTTGTAGTGGTATTTTGTAGGTCCTGCATTGTAGTAGCATTTCGCATTGCATTGTATGGCTGAAACTGTTGGTTGAGGTCTATGTGCTTGTTGCTTTCTGCTACGAATATCGTCTGCTCCATGATTGCTAGCTTCTCAACCTGAATTAGGTTTGAGCTGTTTTCAGCCATCAACTGGTTATGTATATTTGTTTTATGTAACACATGGCTGGATATGGTTTGCGCCTTCTAACCCCTTCTGAGATAGTTATGACTACCTTGAATGGAAGGGTACCTTGTTCATACTTGATATGCGCTTGTGGACATTTTACTAGCTGCAATTTCTTTTGAGAGAGACAATCAGGACATCATTCTTAAAATTGCTAAAAATAAGTGAACACAAAGGAACAGAAAGATAATGTATGAAAATATTCAGCATTGTCACGTTTAGCACTTGTTTTTCAGTGGTTCAGTTATCATAATTTGATGGCTATTCTTGTTAAGTTATTATCGTTTCAGATGTGAAACATTCTGTTCTGCAGTCAGTTTTATTGAAAGTACCTCTAAGTGGGAGTATTTAGAGCACATTAAGAAGACAGAGCTTACGAGCCTGCACTGTGACTTAGGAGTGAGGGAGTTATGTATCTGAAGACAACACCATAGCGGTGCAGCCAGACACTCCACATAAGGAATTGTCGGTGTTTTATTGCAGAAGGATCTGGTAGTTGGTTTCCACGTCCAACAGTTGCTTTGCGATTAACTCTTGTT